GCAGATCAGGTGTATCTCAGCTCAATGTCTATTTTATGCTACAGGTGCAGATGACCATGCCAAGGATTCAATGCATGCAAAAATATGTGATTAAGGATTTTGAGTATGGACAATAGCTAGGCTTGGGCAACATAAGTTAGATTCCTGACATACCTTCTCAGGGTAAAACTTTTCACTTTGTAGCTGTAGTTAAATGAATTAATGGTCAAGCGTCTCTGCTGCCACAGTCCTCTGCAAAGACAAAAGAGAAATACACAGCTTCAGTTTTTGGAGCAAGGTGAATGTTCTCCCATGTCTCTGCTATGTTGGTCATTTCCTATTTTAATTCATTAACTCCAATTACTTTGGGCTACCTGTTCAAGCTGAAAGAAGTAGTGAGGAAGCTAGACTGTGTTAAGGTCCACTTAACACCTTTTATGGCCCTAGCTATAGATCTGGTCTTGGCTTTGTCATTCATAATGTAGTCATATTCTTTTCTCATTCTGTACTTGTCCCTCTTACCAGTAAAGACATGGTTTGTGTATCTACTGGGAGGGAACTGAAGTAATGCTAGGTATGCCTTGCCCTTACATGCCCATGCTCTGAATCTGAAGGGGGCAGGACAAAGCACACCACATTACAGGCTATGACAAAGGGAAAAAGTTCTTTTGATTACAAATGATACACATACATGTCAATTACATACTTAAGGTGCTGCTAAGTAATCTTTGTTTCATAATTAAGATAACTTTAAGAATGTCTTTTGTCCTCCTGGAATTTGCTGACACACTGTTTACACCTCACCTATCTCCTGGAATAAGCCTAGAGATAAACAGACCTCCTGAAAGCACTGTTTTGATCCATTCCTGGAGCTGTTTCGTTATGTGTATTGGATGGAGACTGGAGACCTCTGAAGAATTATTATGGTTGTGTAATTAAAGACTTGCATAATACATATGCATAAAAGTATAAAATGCAAATTACTGTATTTTCTCATTTTACTTTAGTGTCTTGACTCTAAACCTAATTTTTTTGGCAAAGTTACCGTTTGGGTGTTTTTAAATTAACAGACAGATTATAGACACTATTTTGTGACATTTTTACAAGTAAGGTAAGCTGCATTTCATTTTTTGATCCTTCAAAAATCTGATCCTGCATATGCATTTGTAATTTTTCACTATGCTTTATATGCACTTTGAGGAAGTCTGTGTCATGGATGAACATACAGGTAACAGCCAAAGGCCTGGGATTTAAAGTTCTGGGACCCGTATCTTCTCTAAGAGTTATTACTAAGCTATTTTTCAAGACTAGAGTATGGTAAGAACTGCAATATGCTGCCATATACGCTAGCAGCTAACAAGGAAGGAGCTGCTCTCTATACACAGCAAAAATACAGTCCAGCATTGGCAGGCTGGGCTTAATCTCTTGCTAATTTAGTGATTGCTGTGTAGCCAAAGTCAGTGCCTTGTAGCTGGAAATGTCTCTTTTATCCATAATGTAGTTTATCTAAGTAGGTCTTAGGATCTTGGTCTTTAGATGGTCCCAGCAGGTTTTCCAGACTTGCTGGATTTAGAAAGATCTTTTCCAACGTTTTTTATTCTGCTTTATCATCCTGGTTTTTTTTTATTTTGATTTCCATTCCTGGTCCTAGTCCCAGAACTCCCTTGCAAAGTTCTCATGTGCTTCTAGGACTCCTGTGAATTGTTTCTGTTGTTGGGATTGTTTGGCAGTGTATCAGTAGCCTGTGGAAACAATTGAAAAGGCAGATCTGGGAAAAGGAACAGTATCAGTTCACAAAACCAGGAGAACCTGTTCATGCGGAGAAATAAGGAAACATCATCCTGTGCATGTGTGTGCTGAAGCACCAGCCTTCTTGGAAGAAATTGCTGAATTTAGGAAACAACCTTGAAATTTGACGAGTACAAATGAATTACTGCTGAAATGAAAGCTACTACGAAAAATTATAGTAGCCCTTTTACTTAGGAGCTAGAATGTTAGCCCTCGCTTTTCATTTTGTCACCCACGCTACAAAATCGAGTCAGCATGCATTACACTTGCATGTACCACAATATACTTGTAAAAATCTGTTGTGTCTAAATTTCTTTTACTTGTTTTAGATTAGTTTCCTTTACTAAATTTCTTTTACTGAATTTCTTTTACTTTACTAAATTTATAGTACTTGTTTGCTCAAGTACTATACTGGGAAGTGTTCTGATTGCCTGAGTAAAGGGGTTTGATTCAGTTGATCTTCCTGTGTCCAATGTAGGTCTAACTTAATATATTGCAGGTTTGTATGACCCTTAAAAGGTTAGAAAGATCCTGGATCCTAGCAAACATGTCCAGTGTAGCCATGCCTTAGCTGCTGTGGGGGTTTTTTATCCCTTTTTTTCACGTGTCCGTGTGCACAGTTCCGTTTGAAGTTTTAGAACAAAGTAAGATTTCCCAGGGATTTGCTGCTATAGTAGCATACTTAAAATACAGCATATGTATGTTAATAAAGGACGATTACATTCAATTTGCAGGCTGTGTCCTCTTCTGAACTCATTCCTTCTGACCTCTAAGACTAATCTCGGAAATGTCTGACTCTGGAACAAACTATCATTGTGACAAAAGCAGCAGTCTTGCCCTTTTGCTCTCCAGCAAGTGTTGGTTTTGCCAGCTCAGCTGTATAGTAGACCAGATCAGGGGACTGATCTAACTGAAAAATACTTCCCCACCCCTACTTAGGATATAAACTGTATGTTTGTTTTCATACTTTTTTCTTCAGAAAGGTGCCATACTTCATTACTGCAATACCTGACGTCCTGTATTCACAGTACAGGTATTTAAAATGTATTTATAAGAAACAAATAGGAAAAGACAACTAAAATTCTTGTTTTGAGGGAATAATACAGATCCTATTTAATCAAGTCACTAATGTAAGAATGGCATGTTTTTACATCTAAGTTAGACTTCTTTTCAATTTAGTGTTGCATTTATTTTAAGGAAATGCATATGAAATAAAACAAACCCTTCTACTATGTATTACCAAGCAATGGGTTGTTTTAAACAAAAAAAAGTCTTCTGTTAGGAAATTAGGGGAAAAAAAAAAAACAACTCAGGGTTGGGGTGGTGTTTTTTTGGGTGGGTTTTTTTTTGTGTTTGGGTTTTTTTTTGTTTGGTTGGTTTTGTTTTTTTTCTTTGTTTTCTTTTGGAGGGCTCTTTCCTCAATATCTATTTTAGATGTCCTGGGCATAAATTTGACTTTATATTCAGTATGTATTGATGCACTTGGGTAGATGAACAAGTACACTTTTAAATACAGCATCCAAATGCTGGCCCTGTAAGCAGTTGAAGAAGACATAAAAATTGTCAACAATGAAAACTGAAAATCAGTGAACTCATTTCAACTTTAATGCTCAGTATAGCTTCTAACAGAAATCAAGTATTATTCTTTGTACATCATATTTGACTGCCAAAAAAATAAAGCTAAATAGATGAAATAAATGTGTGAAGAGTATAATGCTAGTTCACTTATAGAAAATTGGCATGTTGGAGAAGGGAAGTTAGATCTTCAGTTTAGATGAGGCAGACTATGGGAACATGAGATTTTTGTGGCAAGATCTATATTTTGGAGCTTTCTGTAGCAGCAAACTTAATAACGTGCATTTATTTGAATTCCTGAACAGGAATATTAAAAGAAAACTTAATTATACAAGTGAACTTATTATCTTCTTTAGTTTTATTTAAAGACAACCTAAGAAGAAGAAGAGGGTTCAAGAGAAATCACACTAAGACAAAAATTTTGTTACACTTTCAATAGATATTGCTGCTTTTTGTCAGAGGATTTTGAATTGTATTCTTCAAAGCAGAAAGATTATCTTGCAGAAACCGGGATGTGGAAAACATTTATTCCATAATTTTGGGAGCATTTTACAATGAAGGTTTCAATTTGCACAGTAGAATGTTATAGCACTCTTGATTAATTGTAGTCTACTACAGTGTACAAAGACAAACTAGTCTTTTAGATACTTGTTCTTTACTGTTTTTTTAAGAATAATGGTAAGAATAAGAAAATTAATGGTTTTTAGAAACTGTCTGATTACAAGGGGCTGTTCTGTTACACGTCCCTATTGTGTACAGTGCTGTGGATACATGAGCATGGAGAGATTACTCCCTCCATAACATAGTTCCTGACCTTTGAAACTGTTTATTTTAATAGGCCTGCTAAAGGTTGGTTGTGGGTCGGTAGCTTTGTTTCTTTTTGTTTGTTTGTTGGTGGTATTTTTTGCCCATTGTGTTTTGTTAGGGTGTTTTGTTTGTGTTTGGTTTTGTTTGTTTGTCCTTTTTCTGTTTGGCTTTTACTTAAACTAGAAGCTGAACTACAGTGAATTTAAAATGAGAGATTTGAATACAAATCAACCCTTGCTCAGGTTTTTGAGTGCCCTAGTCTGAAAGTGTTGCACATCCTAGCTTGCCTTTTGTTTTGTTTTGCATCTGGTGTACTTTCCTTAACTCTGTGAGATTCATTTTAGATGTTTGAAAAATTGCTTGGTACTTCCAGGAACAAATGTGCCTGCTGGCATCTTGAGCATTCTTTGCTTCTGCTCTGATGTTGAGGTAGCACTGTGATGTAGATGATGAAGCTGCAAAACAAAAATCTCTGAAGTCTGAAACAATTTAGCTTCTCAAATGTAAACATTATTGTTGCTTTATTTCTAAGTTCCTGTTTAAATTAAAATGTTTAGAATTAACTATTGTTTGTATGTGTATTTTGAAGACCGTTAAAAAGCCTTCTGCATAGCTCTACTGGTGAATGTAGCAGTTGCAAAATGAAAGGGTATCAGTTTAACAACTGTAGGGTGTATTTATCAATTGTTTTTGTAATACAAAAAATTCTATTGAAAAGAAATGTAGAATTGGATGCTGAAGTTTTATAAAATAAGAAATGAGCCTGTGTTAGAAAATGATTTTTTCTAAAACAGTTTCTTTTCTTTGTTTGTTTTTTTTTCTCTTTATTTTTTTTTTCTCTTCTCTTCTAGGACCGGAATAGGCCCTATGACACTTTTAACTTGCACTCTTTGGAAAATTCCTTAATGGATATGATAAGGACTGATCATGAGCCTCTGAAAGGTAAACACTACCCTCCCAGTGGCCCACCAATGAGTTTCGCTGATATAATGTGGAGGAATCATTTTACAGGTTAGGAATATTCATATGTCCATGCTTGCTTGGTGTTTAAACAAAAATCAGCTTTTCAGTTTCGCTATAAACTTTTTGCTAATGAATGAGTTGTCAGTTATGAAAAGTTTCTGTTTTCCTATCTTAAGATAATCATCTGTACTGGAGGAGGATCAGGTGAAATCTGCATACATTTCTTGTGAGTGCACAAGCATCATAATAGCTAACTGGCATTTCTGAAACTTGGTTTAGTGTATCAGCAAATTGCACAGTTGGGTCTCCTGCTGCAGTCACTCAGTTCAGAAAATGTATAGTAAAACTAAAGTCCAATTGTTACATTTAATATCTTATTCAAAGTTAATATGACTCTTATTTTTTGATCACCAGGTAGTATGCAGGGTTCTAAACCAACCACTGTGTCAAGCTTACTCTCTACAGATGTTTCAGGTTTCTTTTTCTTTTTTTTTCCTCTTGAAAAAAAAAAAGTATCTTAACTTGGTTCTCAAATTCTTAGGGGAGCCAAAAGCTATTAGATGTTGTTAAATGCTGGGAAGTTTTGATGATCTATGCTACTAGACTGTGTTTGTTCTACCAGCTGTAGCATTGGAGATGAAACCATTTCTAATACTTAGCTGATACGGAATAGTGAAAGGTGGTGGCAACATTTCAATAAACAAATATTCCTGACTGACCTGCACGGTCCTCTTCTTATTCTTTCATTGCTTACATTTAAAAATAGGTACGCATTCTTGCTTAAATGCATTCTTGCCCACTTTGAAGACTGTAGCTAATAGTAAGCCACATAGAAAGGAAGTAGAAATGATTACCAAACACTGAGAAGATGGGACACTGGAATTGATAGAGAAGAAATTTAGTTGTGGATGTCATGATTGCCCCGCTTGCTCCCCTCCCTATTTACATATTACATGTGGAAAAATATTTTTTCTTGGTCCAAGGTCTTGTGCCTTTTTCTCCATATTTCTGGATACAGATTTTTTTGGTTTTTACAGTCATACAAACTGGATTCTGTATTCTCAGTTCTTTTAGCCTGGTGCTTCCCACTGTTATCTTGAAATTTGCTGTGCTGTGTGCTTCATGTGCCTTTAACTATTATTCAGACGTCTAAAATGGCAAGAAATACTGTCTCATGTCTATTCTGATCTTAGTCCTCCAAAATAATGTTCACCTGAAACTTATAAAAACCAAGCTGAACAAAACCGAGATTTCTGCTGGATATACATTTCATATGGCTAGTATTAAAAAAAAAAACCAAATAATCAAAAATAAAATCCCATTTCTAGTAAATAGATTTAAGCATTTATTGTATCCTATTAATTCTAGCTAAAACTCACATTTTTTTTTTAAATCAGTATTTATTTAAATATACAAATAGAGACTATTTTTTGAAGACTGAATTTCCATATGAACCTGAATGTGGGAAAAAATGAGAAAGGATTAGAAAAGAATGACTCTAGAGAAAGATTTTAACGTCATATAAGTGCAATTTTGTTTCCTTATAGCCATTTGATTTTTTTTTTTTAAATGGGAAGGTTAGCATATAAAATAATGATGGGTAAAAATATTTAATTCTCTTATGTTGTTGGGTCATTCTAACAAGAATACTTTCCAGTACTCAGCTGAGCTAACCTCTGTAAGTGTTGCAAGTGGCATGTTCCACAGCTGCACCTGAAGGTCATAATGCTATTTAATGTTGGTGTTTTGCATGAAGTAAAGATGAAATTTTTGGTTTTCATTAAGCATCTTCCTGCTTTTCAAGAAAAGTGTCCTTTCCAAAACAAACTTAATATTTTCATCTCTACTAGGTTAGCAATTTACGTAGGAAACTGCCTGCCTTAAATGGAGATTTGAGAGCAGTAGGAACTGTTTTTCTCTGCTCAAAAAAAAGTTTGAATTTATTTGTTCCATTTGCCAGTGGAACTGTTAGCTTTATTTTTGCTGTAGCAAACATTTCTGTCAGTTACTGGATGTGCTTTTTTTTAACTATCTCATTTTCTCACTCAGTGCTGCTCACCTGTTTTGGCCTTCTGGCCTTGTTACTTAGCTCTCCTCCAGCTTCCAGTCAGTAACTGTTGGAGAAATCTTGTTTACTATTAGTTATCTCTCTCTGTTTCGGCCCAGCTGTCTTTTTCCCCATCGATATAGTTAATTCTCTGTCTGCTTTCTTTTACTCCTCGCTCTGACTACAGAGCTTACTTTGCTGACCTCCAGCTTTGGCTTGACCTGCTATGCACTTTCCTCTACTCCTGTTTTCACCCTATGCAGCATGACTGGCAATATTCACAGCAGTGGTTGTTTCAGGACATTGATTCTTTCTTCTAAGATGTATTGTCTTCCTCTGTGTTAAATAGGTTTATGTTACTATTTCAACAGAATGCTTTTCAGAAAAACATATTTTCTGCAAACATTGATACACTTGTCCAGTTGTTTTCCTACTGTGTTTTCATTGTTGCCTTTGACATGAAAATTGGTCTTGACTCTTACCCTGTACCTCAACTTTCTCTACCAAAGATGCAGAAGGTTTTCAACTGCTGTGCTTCTCTGTACCTTCCTCAGATTTCACTTAATCTTGTCTTCTAAACTGTCTTGCTTTTTTCTTACTTATCCCACTCTCCTCTGGCTCTCCCCCTTAAAGTAGTAGCATGTTTTAGTTTGCAATCACTTTCTTTCTCAAGGTGATTTCTTGATTTCTTTCACACCTTGAGAAAGAAAGTGATTGCCTCTCCTTGCTTTTTGCTTGCTTCTTAAGTCATTGTTATGTACTTCAGCTTGATTTTTTTGTTTTTCAGTTCCTTATAGACATTCCTGTATGAATGCCTCTCATGCAAAATTTCAGCTGCTCTTTCTAGAATCCTACTAACTTAACCAAGTCTCAGAACTACTTCCATTTCCTTTTACCTTCTTTGTCTTTCATAGTAAACCGGGTATGCTTTTTTCCCTTTAATTCTTCCCTTCCTCTAGCACCTGTGACTATCTTCTCTGAGGTTTTGTTCAGCCTTTTCTTGTGTAAAAAGTAAAGGAACCACTAAAGTCCTGGTTTAACAAGCGATCAGACAAATTAAAATGAGATGGATTTCAAATGACTCTATAAATTGTTCACCTTTTGGTAAACAAGCCTTGTTTTCTCAAACAATATTAGCTTACACCACTTACATGTCGGTTGGCCTTGTATTTACTATCCAAATTTTTAAGTAGAAGAGGTGAAAAGATCAGTACCAAAAGCCTCTAATCTTGAAAACACAGGAAGATTTAATTCTAGAAAAGCTATACATGTTTTGGAGCCTCCAATGCATGTTACAAAGCCAGTGCAGCTATTTCAGGATCATTTCAGCCTGCTGCTGGCAACGAAGTCTTCAGCAAATGAGTATTTTTAGAAGTACTGTCCATATATGCATTCATTAGTAAAATATTGCAGATGGTTTATGTGAAGGTTGAAACTTTGCTTGGAACATAGCCCCTCTTGGCATATGTGCCTACTCACATCTCAGAAGATAATTGAAACAAAAAATAATTATCTTGGATATAGAACAAGGGCTTTAGATTAGAATGTGGATGGGGGTTTAACAGTAACAGATTCTGATGTGAAGACCAAAATAAAATGGTTCTGTGATTTTTTTTTTCACCTGATTGTGGGATGTAAGTTCCTCATGCTCTGGAGGTAGTGAATAAGCTCAGGGGTGAGGAAGAAAGAGTCCATCCTCTTGTTTATAGCAGTTGAAGCTTCATACCTTCTCTGAATCTGAGGTGTGCTCAGACTTTGTCCTGCAGGCTGTGGAAATTCAGTTTATTTCAAGGTTACCAGAGTAGGTCACTTTTTAAAAGCATGATCCACTTGGCCTTGAGAGGGCATGTGATTAAGCAACTTTTTTGGGGGGTGTTACTTTCAAGTGTGGAACAAGAGAAAGGCTGAAGGATTGTTAATGCAGCAGAAACTAACTGATCCTCAGTCTTGCAATATTGAATTACTTACATTGAGCAAGTGCTAACTCAGTCTGATTGGCAGGCTGGCATGGTGCTCTCCAGCTAGGAAAGCTAGGGTCACTTATGTTTTTTTGGGTGTTTCTTGCTGTAAGAGAGATTTGATACCTAGCTCTGGGGCTTCTGGGCTTGTATAAATTACCAGCTTATCCATCCAGGTTGCATTTTATCTCAAGTTCAGTCTTGGGAGAAGATGTTCAGTGTCGGCTTTTATTTGTTTCTGTCTAAAACTGATTTCTTTTTCTCATCTTTTTCTGCAACATAGGGGTACCCTGTGGTAGGTTTCTATCTTTCTGTCCTTGAAGTCAGGCAACTGTGTAACTTTATAAACTGTTTGCCATTTTCATGCTTTGAGATCTGAAGAATATAAACCCATTAAAAAGGAAGCCTTATTTTCTCACAAGACAGTTAGGGAGAGACTTCCTTACTTGCATTCTCTGCCATCAAGACCAGCTTCAGCATCTTTCTTCTCTTTAAGTCAATACTCATAAATCCTTTCAAAAGGAGGAAAAAAGGTACAGTAAGGGGATTGTTAAACTTCTTATTTAAGACAAATTATTGTATATGGCCAAGGGTATCTGGTTGTTCCCTGTGTCAGTCATAACCAGGCCTGTGTGACAGAACAGTGCAATGTTTTCTAAGATGTTTTCCCTGAACTGTCTTATTTATTTGCTGAGTTGCCAGTAAGTGATATCATACATTACAAAAACATGGGAGAGGGTTTTGCTTTAGCAAGGAAAGGGTGTATTTTATAACCTGTTGGTACTTATGTACTACTTCTACCTAATGCTGCAGGGCAGAACTGAATTATGAGAATAACTATGGGTAGATGCTACTTATTACTGACTAAAACATTTCTTTCCTACATCAGTGTCTCCTGCCTATGGTGTAATATGTCACTGTTGCAATATGTTTATCCATGTCCAAGTATTGCCTTACAACACAAACAGAGGCAT